CAAAATGAATAAATAAAAGCTGAGAAAACTTATCACCTGCACAATGAAAAATATTAAAGAAAGTTCCTCAAGCCAAAGGAAAATGATACCAGACAGAAACAGATCTATAATATGCAAAGGAAAGTGCCAGAAATGGTAAATCTATGTAGTCACTATAGAACACTTTATCTTTTAATTTCTTTAAACTACATTGTCTGCTTAAAGCAAAAATAAAGTCTTACTAATTCAAGTCAGACTGTGCTCAGCTAAGGAACTGAAATAAAACAGAGTTGTAGGCCAGAAGTCAATATAGGAAATAGAATACTCACACGCACTTCATTAATCCAAAAAGAGACAGGAGAGTCGGTGGGAAGGAACAAAGAATAGATGGGAAAATCTAGAACAAATAGCAAGATGGTAGAATTAGACCTGACCTAACTCAGTGCTACGGTGAATGAAACAAAACCATGGCAATGGAGTTCTGGTACAGCTGCCCTCATCACACATGTGAGGCTCTGGCTGTGTGTTTCTGGATGAAGGGGAGGAAGGTGACAATGAAGGAAGAAGAAAAGCAAACTTGGGGGGACATAGAAATTCTAATAGAATAGGTTCTAGGTGCTCAAGCCACCTCTCACCCTGATTTTTTGGGGCACAGCTGTGTATTACTCTCACCCTTGGGGTGCACAGCCCAGGTTACAGGTACCATGTTCCTGGATTTACGGAGCAGACACATGAACTGGGTTTGGGCACCGGGCGCGGGGAAGCTGAGCTGGTTTCCAGTGCTGCTGTTTGAAATGTGAGGAAGGCCAGAGACATGCTTCCAAGTCACTGTGAATACCTGGTGGAAAGAGGACGCCCTTTCCACCAGGGCAGATGACGTCAAGCAGACCCACCAACAAACTAACCACCTGCCAAAACAAACGCAATGCTCTTTAAGGGAAGACAATAAAGCCCATAATGTTTAGCATGTAATAAAAAATTACTCGGCCTGGCGCAGTGGCTCACACCTGTAATCCCAGCACTTTGGGAGGCCGAGACAGGTGGATCACCTGAAGTCAGGAGTTCGGCCTGACCAACATGGTGAAACCCTGTATCTACTAAAAATACAAAAAATTACTCGGGTGTGGTGGCGTGCGCCTGTAATCCCAGCTACTTGGGAGGCTGAGGCAGGAGAATTGCTTGAACCCGGGAGGTGAAGGTGGCAGTGAGCTGAGATCGTGCCATTGCACTCCAGCCTGGGCGACAAGAGCGAGACTCCATCTCAAAAAAAAAAAAAAAATTACTCAACATGTGACAAGGAGGAAACAAAAGCAGTCAATAGAAAGCATCCCAGGGGTGATACAGATGGAATTCCACCAAGAAAACTAGAAAAAGGCTCTGTCCACAGAAGGGATCATGTAAACAGAATGGCAGAAGAGAACAAAAACAGAGGATCTAGAAAGGAGAAGTATAATCCAACCCTGACGTAGGGAGGGGGAACTGTAAAATTAGAATCTGACAAGATTTTAATAGGCAATAGACGACAATCAATTAACACAGAGCTGTCACGATACGTCTGGACAGACTCAGTTATTTGACCCATGAAGGCTCTGGAGATGAAGGCACCACAGCACCAGGTCTAAATGTGTCATCCCAAACATTTCTAGCTAGGCAGCAGAGAGAAATGACCAAGAATGATTCAGTTCAGTTCAATACTCGTTTGCTGAGGACCTTCTGCCACCAGGCTCTGTGTCAGGTGCTGGGGATATAAAAATTACTAAGACCAAGTCCATGCCCGTAAGGGGAAACCCAGTTCTACTGGAGGAAACAGGCATGGCAACACATCAGAAAGTAGTGTGTCCAAGCATCCACCTGTCACTTACCAGCTGAGAGAATTTGAATATGTGCCCTGCCAAAATCTCATGTTGGATTATCATCCCCCGTGTTGAAGGTGGGGTCTTGTAGGAGGTGACTGGTGCACGGGAGTGGATTTCTCATAAATGGTTTAGCCCCAACCCCTGGATGCTGTCCTCACAAAAGTGAGTTCATTCTAGTGAGATCTGGTCGTTTCAAAGTGTCTGGCACCTCTCCCTCCCGTGCTCCTGTCTTGCCATGTGATATGCCTGCTTCGACTTTGCACTCCATCAAGACTGGAAGCATCCTTAGGCCTCCCCAGAAGCAGATGTCGCTGTGCTTCCTGTATAGCCGGCAGAACCGTGAGCCAATAATACCTGTTTTCTTACAAATGATTCAGTCTCAGGAGTGCAAGAACGGTCTAGCACACCAGCTATGTGGCTTGCACAAATCCTTTAACCCCAGTTTCATCATCCATAAAATGAGGATAATAATAACCACCTAGCAAGACTGTTGTGAACATTCTAGAAATAATGTGAAAAGTGCCTAGCTCACCACCTGGCCTATAGTATTCAGCAGCTCTCAACTTGAGAACAAGACACACATTAGAATCTAGGTGGCAAGAGGAGGGTATTTCTAACTAGTCCCAGCCTACCTCCCACTCATCTCCTGATTCCCCCGGAAGGATGTGCCTACCTCTTCGAAACCCATTACCCTGGATGGAGAAACACTATGTCCCATGCATAATATAAAGTGCGGGAGTGTGTTTTGCATGTGAATGGTGCATAGGTAGAATAAAGTTTGGGAATCACTCTGTAAGCATTCATCTCAGTTCAACACTTATAAAGCACCTACTGTGTGCCAGGCTCATAAAAAACTAATTTGGATTATTTCCACATAATGATAGAGGTATGTATAAAATGCTAAGAGAATATAATACAGGAGAAGGCACTCAGCCTGGGGGTCAGGAAGGCCCACGAGCCTTGGCAGTTACCTGGCCTAACAGGTGAGAAGGTCATCTTAGGAGAATAGAAAGGTATAAGTTGGCCATAGCATGGTATGTGCAGGGAACTAGGATCCAAGCATTAAATAGGGTCAAGGAATTGAATACCTGGGAGAGGTAGACAAGGGCAAGTTCATGAAAGACATGCAAAGAAACCCACTTAATCCTGTGGGTGGTGAGAGCCGCAGAAGAGCATGACAGAAAGGAGACCCAGGTCCTTCTGTGCTCCAGGTCAGTATCTCTGAAAGCAGTTCCCAAGCTAAATTTCATGACGAAAGCACAGGCAGCCTCAGAGAGCTCAGCCTCCAGAGGAATTCATTCCTCAGAGGCAGTGTGCACCGCTCACTCAGCTTTGCTTCTCAAGCACCCACCCAAGTCTGACCCCACTGGAGGCACTAGGTTCATTGTACAGAACGGATATTAATAAACTTCCTTATCCAGAACTTGTGCAATAGCCAAGCATAGTGGCTTATGCCTGTAATTGCAATACTTTGGGAGGCCAAGGCAGGCAGATTGCTTGAGCCCAGGAGTTCAAGACCAGCCTGGGCAACACGGTGAAGGCCCATCTCTACAAAACTACAAAAATTAGCCAGGCATGGTGGTGCACACCTGTGGTCCCAGCTACTAAGGAGGCTGAGGTGGGAGGATCTCAAGTCTAGGAGGTCAAGGCTGCAGTGAGCCATGATTGCACCATTGCACTCCAGCCTGGGCAACAGAGTGAGACCCTGCCTCCAAAACAACAACACAAGAAACAGAACCTGTGCATTTTTAACATTATCTCCCACTATGGGATTCATTCAATTACAAAGTTTTATTAACCACCAAGTAGGGAGGGAAGATATGAACACAAATACAGTCAGGGCTTTACGACAGGGAGACAGCTGGGAAATGCACCCTTAGGCCGTTTTGTTGTGTGAACATCGCCAAGTGCACTCACGGAAGCCAAGATGGTACAGCCGACAGCCTACAACACAAATAGGCTACAGTGTAGAGCCCATTGCACCTAGGCTACAAACCTGTACAGCAAGTAACTGTACTGAATATCAGAGCCGCTTGGAACACGATGGTGAGTATTTGTGTATCTAAACAAATCTAAACATGAAAAAGGTACAGTATAAATACAGTATAAAAGATGAAAAATGATACAGCCGCGTAAGGCACTTACTAAAATGGCTGTTTCAGAACTCGAAGTTATTCTCGGTGAGTCAGTGAGTGAGTGGTGAGTGAATGTGAGGGACTAGGATATTACTGTCCACTAGTGTAGCCTTTATAAACACAGTACACTTAGGCGACACTAAGTTGATTTTTAAAATAAAGTAATTGAGCTATAACATGACAATGGCTACAGTGTCACTAGGTGAAAGGAATTTTTCAGCCCCGTTAGAATCTTACGGGACCACCTTCATACACACAGTCCGTTTTTGACTGAAACATCCTTACCCAGCAAGTGAATGTAATTGCAATGAAGTGAAAGACCAAGGTTATAGTTCTAGTGTATCCAGAGTGCTTCAGGAGATGAACTGTTAGGGAAAGCCAGAAAAGTCTCCACCACGGAAAAAATATTTGGCCTGGGTCTTGAAGGATAAATAGGAAGTCAGCACTCAGAGACAGGTGCCAGTGTTTTTCATCCTGAGGCAGGGCGGTATGAGAGACAGCTGGAAGGTTTGAGAATGCCTGGTGAGAACTTACACTCACTGGGGACTAGATATAAGAATGCAGTGGACCTAGCACTGTGATTTTTCGACCTGGGCTACACATCAGAAACACCTAGGGAGCTTTTAAAACTTCCAGGGCCCAAACCACATTCCGAACCAATTAAATCAGGACGTCTGGGGCTAGAAGCCAGTCATCAGTATTTTTTTTAAGCTCCCAAAGTGATTCCAATGTGCTGCCAAGTCTCAGAACCACTAGTCTAGAAAGGAGGGATAAGGATTTCCAGCAGCCTCAGAGGACCGGCCCTCCTGGTGACCCTGCGATCCTGGCACACACAACCCCCCACCCCGCCGCCTGGGAGAAAGACCGGCCACACCACAGCCATCAGCTGTTTCCTGCTGCTCCTTTCCTCACACCAGCATTTGGCTCTGAAATAGTGGTTCTCAAAGTGTGGTCCCCAGGCTGTAGCATCAGCCTCAGGGGGAAGTTGTTAAAAATGCAAATTTCCCAGCCGCACCCCGGACCCACTCACCCAAAAACTCTGGGAGCCCAGCAACTGAGGCACGCTAAGGTTGGTGAGCCGCTGCTCTGGAACACTGATCCCTCCCAAACTGCAGCAAAGCAAGTGCCTGGGTGTGGCTCTGGCTGTGTAGGTGCTGCTAGAATCTGCTGGAGTCACTGATTGTCAGAAGAGATGCCGTGGGAGCTGGTTTGGGTGCCTCCACGTTAGTCGTCACCACCAGGCAGTGGCCTTTGGCCTGGAATAGAAGGTACCAGAGGGCTGATAGCTCAGTTTTTTATGGTACCAAGAAAAGACTTTCAGATTGGAGGTATGGGATTTTGTTTATTTTTTTAATCCTCTTTTAATACAAAGTGCCCCCTTGAAAGCAAACTTTCAAGATATTTCACATCAGAACTGGCCGGGAAATCCAGCATGTGGACACACACGGATATGCCGTGTGCATTTTTCCGTCGGAGGGAGGGGGTAGGCTTGGGGGCTGGAGGGTGTTGCCTGGGGGCGGAGCGATAAGGAAGAAAGGGCACTGCTGGTTCACACCTCATCCATCCCCCCCTCCCAGGCCCCAACCAGGCTGGAATTAAAGGACCCTGGGAGGAAAATAAGGAAAGCAACAAAGGAAATGAGTTCCCCATATAGAAAGGGAAATTGCCGTTCCCCTTAAGGTCAGACTGGTCCTAAGTAAAGGGCTGGTGCGCCCTAGCGACCGCCTCTGCCGAAGCCCTGACGCTGGAGCTCTGTTGCCCTCGCAGAATAACCAGGACTTTGTTGCAGCCAGAACCGGCCACATCTTGATTCCACACTCCCTTGAGGAGCCAGCCAGCTCCACACTTACTCAAACAATCCGAAGAGCACCAAGTGGATTCTCTGCCACACGACTGAAGAGAGCAAGCTGTCTGGGGGGCTCTCCACCTCTTTTCAACTCAACTATTCTGAGCTGAAGTACTGGACCCGTTTTGTCTTTCTTGTTTTTTTCCTGCTTCAGTAATCTGGAAAAATCCAGCAGGTCGGAAAAACTGTTGGACTTGACAGCGTGTGTGTATCGCCACCTGGTGGCCACAGCTTATCAAAACAGCTTCCTTCCGGGGCTCTGGTGGATGTACATCAAAGGCTCCGGCTTCCAGACAGGTACACATCCTGTTCTCATGCCCGGCTCACTTTCCCGTGGGAATGTCAGCCACTCTGATTTGCCTTGGCTGAAAACCTCCTGTCTTTGCATGGAAAAAAAACACAAATAATATGAACAAGCAACAGAGTTTTCTTTCTCTCTTAAGTAACCAAGCATTTAAAATCTTCTAAAGCACACATTTCCCTAATTGAGAAAGGAAGTAGAAGAAAAATTTCTGGCTGAACTTACAAATCATAATAAATGATCGGAAATACCTTCTCCATTACCAAGATTCCTGGGGTCCTAGTGTAAAGGAGACTTCAGTTGCCCTTGACGCTACAATATCCTGACTAAAAGCCTGTTTCCAAGGTGATATTTGATAGACATGAAGGACCCGGGTGGAAAATAAGGTGGTCTGGATGGCACGGCAAGCAGTGGAACATGCAGGCTATGAGGCATCAGCAGAAACCAGTTCTGGTCCTGGCACTGCTACCAACCTGATGTGGCACCTTGGGAAGTTACCTAAACTTTGTGGATCCCAACGCCCTAGATTCGTTAACTTCTATTTTTTCCCACAAATTCCATGTTTTTGAAAGATGTTGCCCACCAAAATGCATCTCTAAAATAGGAGCTTAATAAGCTTTCTGTCTTGAGGAATCAGACGTATAAATGTCAGGCAGGCCTTCTGATGATCATGATGCAACCAGAGTTACCACAATGAGTCCATATCACAGAGAAAGCAAAGACACTCGATCCTTTCTTAACCTGGTCTCCCACCCATGAATGACTTTTGTTAGGATTTCAGCATGTTGAAACCAACCCACAGACCCTACTTACAACTTTCCCAGGCCCTGGGAACTAGGGAATCCCAGTTTGGAAACCAATAAACTAGAAAATCTTGAGGGTAACTCTAGCTCTCATGAACTAAAACAGAGTAAAGATGGAAGACTGTGGTATGTACATGCAGGTAGAGTCTTGATTTGAGAAATGGCATTACCAGGAATTAACATTTCAGAAATGCCAGCTCCGTGTCAGGATTTTTTATTTTATTATGTATATTTGTTATAGACAACATGTTTTGGAATATGTATACCTTGTGGAATGGTTAAATAAAGCTAATTACATATACATGTGCTCACAAAGTTATCATTTTGGGGGTGACTTAAAATCAGCAATTTTCAAAAATATATGTTATTAACTATAGTTGCAATGTTGTACAATAGATCTCTTGAATATGTATTCCTCTTGTCTAACTGAAATTTTATGTTCTTTGACCATCTCCCCAACTGCCCCCCAACAAGCCTGAAAGCCCTGGTAACCCCTAGTCTACTCTCTACTTCTATGAGTTCAACTTGTTAAGATTCCACATGTAAGTGAGATCATGCAGTATTTGTCCTTCTGTGCCTGACTTATTTCACTTAGTATAATGTCCTTTGGGTTCATCTGGGTCACAAGCAACAGGATGTCCTCCATTTTAAAAGACTGAATAGTATTCCATGGTGTATTTTCTTTATCCAACCCCATTTTCTTTATTCATCCATCCGTTGATGAACACTTAGCTGGTTTCAAATCTTGGCTATTGTGAATAGTGCTGCAATGAACATGGCAGTACAGATAGCTCTTCAACATACCGATTTTATTTCCTTTGGATATATATACCCAGGAGTGGGATTGCTAGATCATATGGTAGTACTATTTTTAATTTTTTGAGGAACCTCCATACTGTTTTCCGCAATGGCTGTGTTAATTTACATTCCCACCAGCAGTGCACAAGGCTTCCCTGTTCTCCACAACCTTGCTAGCGTTTGTTCTCTTTCATATTTTTTGATAACAGCATTCCAACAGGCATGAGGTAATATCTCATTGTGGTTTTAATATGTATTTCGCTGATAGTTAGTGCAGAAGTTTTAAATACAGAATCACAGTTAGTCCTGACAATAAGCTCTAAAACACCCATGCAGATGAGGAAAGAACTGCAGGGAAGTTAAAGGTCTGCACCTTACAGCTGAGACCAGAACCAGGTCTGTATCATTTCAAAGCACATAATCTTTCAAAGGAAACTGACAAAATCACAGCAATTTTTAGGTTCTCAGAGAACAGGCAAAAAACAAACAGACAGAAAGAAATGATAGTAATTTCCAAGTGTGACCCAGTAATCCAAACTAAACATATTTTGTTGAATGAATATCCTGGATTCTACTAAGTTTCTCCAAGTCCCCATCTTCTTAAAACATAGCATTTGGGGTTTAGTAGTTATTGATAAACCTTTTGCATATATATGCACTGTTGATTCTTTTTACTACATATTATTTTATTGTAGTAAAGCCAATTTTCTGATATTTATCTGAAAGCAAACTGTGAAGTACTTCCATTCTACTTCCTGGTGATTTTTAGTGACCTGGTGCCATTTGAATGTATGTGTCCTCCAAACTTCATATGTCGAAACTTAAACATATTGATTTAATACAATCAATGTACAAATACATTGATTTGAATGTATGTGTCCTCCAAAATTCATATGTGAAATGTATGTGTCCTCCAAAATTCATATGTTGAAACTTAAACGTATTGATTTAATAGCAATCAATGTACAAATACATTGATTTGAATGTGGATAAGGCCCTCCAAAATTCATATGTTGAAACTTAAATGTATTGATTTAATACAATCAATGCACAAATACATTTATTTGAATGTTTGTGTCCTCCAAAATTCATATGTTGAAACTTAAACGTATTGATTTAATACAATCAATGTACAACACATTGATTTGAGTCGTAAGTGTGTCCTCCAAAAATTCATATGTCGTGAATCCTAAACGTATTGATTTAATACAATCAATGTACAAATACATTGATTTGAATGTATGTGTCCTCCAAAATTCATATGTCGAAACTTAAACGTATTGATTTAATACAATCAATGTACAAATACATTGATTTGAATGTATGTGTACTCCAAAATTCATATGTTGAAACTTAAACCCCAAAGCAATGGTAGTAGAAGGTGGGGCATTTGGAAGGTGATTAGGTCATGAGGCCGCCACCCTCATGTGAATGGGTTTAGTGCCTTTATAAAAGGTCTGGAAGGAACTAGCTAGGCCCATTGCCCTTCCATCTCTTCTGCCACGTGAGGGTGCAGCGTTTATCCCTTCTGCTCTTCCACCTTTTCCACCATATGAGAACACCAGAGATAATACCATCTGTGGCCAGGCACGGTGGCTCACCCCTGTAATCCCAGCACTTTGGGAAGTCAAGGTGGACGGATCACGAGGTCAGGGGATCGAAACCATCCTGGCCAACATGGTGAAGCCCCATCTCTACTAAAAATGCAAAAATTAGCTGGGCCTGGTGGCACGCTCCTGTAGTCCCTGCTACTCAGGAGGCTGAGGCAGGAGGATCATTTGAACCCATGAGGCGGAGGTTGCAGTGAGCTCAGTTCTGTAATATTTTCTGCTCTTATTCCTTTAATAATTTTCTTCTACCCATCATCTGTTTTCTCTTTCTGAAACTTCTGGGTAAATATTAAACAACTCTGGTTTTTGAAACTTTCTTGTCTATATTATGATTCAACTAGGATCAAAAGAGTATCTAATTAAACAGTAGCTTAAACAAATTAGGGGTTTTTTTTTTTCTCACACAAGAAGTCAAGAAGTCATTGGATCAGTGTTATTTCAGAGGCTCGGGAATGTCAGGGCAAAAATATCTAGAACTCTCTTGGTCTCTTACCCATGTCTACAAGATAGCTGCTGCAACTCTATCCATCCCATCCACATTCAAGGCAGAATGAAGGAAGAAGCAGAAGGAAGCAGAAAGGGGTGTAGTTGTATCAGAAGAATAAAGCCTTTCCAGAAATTTTCTACAGACTTAAACTTATGACTCCTTGACCAGAAATGTATCAAAAGGCAAATCTAATTACAGGAAAGTCTAAAAAAGGAAGTTTTAGTATCCCACCATGAAAGTGCAGGGAGGCAAGAGAAAGGAGGGTTGTAAAGAAGGAATGAGACAATCCAGTGCCCTATTTTCTTTCTTTCTTTTTTTTTTTTTCCTCTGAGACAGAGTCTTGCTCTGTACCCCAGGCTGGAGTGCAATGGTGCCATCTCAGCTTACTGCAACCTCCGCCTCCCAGGTTCAAGCAATTCTCCTGCCTCGGCCTCCCAAGTAGCTGGAATTATAGGCGCCCACCACCACGCCCAACTAATTTTTTTGTATTTTTAGTAGAGACAGGGTTTCACCATGTTGGTCAGGCTGGTCTTGAACTCCTGACCTCAGATGATCCACCCACCTCGGCCTCCCAAAGTGCTGGGATTACACGTATGAGCCACCGCACTGGGCCAGTGTCCTATTTTCGTCTTTTTTTTTTTTACTACTTCATGCAAGAATTCCTCAATTTTATCTTCTAAACTTTGTTGATTTTTGTTTTGTTTTGTTTCTGCTCTAATTATTTTAATTTCTAAGAGTGCTTCCTTCTGGTATTTTGTTTTTGTTGTTGTGTTGTTTTAACAGCTTCCCATCTTGTTTCATAGCTGTAATATCTTCTCATCTCTCTAAAGATATTTATAACTTCTCTTTAAGTCCATTTTGTTTTTTGCCTCTTCCTCACAATATTTTCTTTTTCTTCAAAATTGATAGCTCTCCCCACACATAGACATTTTGGCGTCTGTCTTCTATTTGGGTAGCGTCCCTCAAAAGTCTGATGATCTGGGCTGTTGATTTATACGTAAATATGAGACACCAAGAAGTTGTTTGGAGGAGCTGTGTGATTAAATTAATATTGTCCCCTGGCAGCATACAGAGTGATCAGGTGTTGAGCCAGCTCTTTCATGGGGCAGACCCCCACAACCAATGTCATTATGTGTGAGTATTTTCTCTGGACTTACTGAGTTTTTCCATTGATTTTCCACTCTGGTCCTCAATATAATGGAGTTGGAGACCAAGGTCCAAGCAGTAATTCCAGTGCCATCGTGGGAGCACGGAGGATGGTGAGAATCCTCTGAGTGGAAGACTCTGGTCAGTTTCTCCAGAGAAGGAACTTCATGTTCTACAGAGGTTAGAGAAAGGTCATACTCAGGTGGTGTGGATTAGAGGTCTAAAAGATCCTCTGAGAAACGGCCAAAAAATTTCTCTGTCTTCATCTCCATGATCTTGTCCTCCTTTGCCCCTTCCACTGTACTGATGTCTCCAATTTCAGAAGTTTTCAGGTATTCTGTTGAACAAATCTTTCATTTCTCATCAATCTTTCCTTCCTGAGATACTTGGGTTTCAGCCTCCTCTGCTAAGTGAGTTATCAATCCTCAAACCACTTTTCATCTTCTCTACTCTTCGCTCCCTCCAATTCTCTCTGTCCTTATGAGTTTATGCCTTTTTAGTCCTTCATTGTAATTTTGGACAGGGAGGAAAGAGTGGAAATGAAGCTCAGATATACGGATGTATTGAATCTGCCATGCTAAACTGAAAGTCAACACATATTTGTTTAATATTTCCAATTTCACAACACATTTCTTCCAAAAAAAAAATGGAGCTTTTTATTATTAATGTGTCACTGACCTTCAGTCATAATCTATCTTAGCAAGGATATAGGCACATACCAGACTGAAAAGATTTGACAAACACTATTCTGAGAAACCCACATTTGGTCAACAATCAAAGGAAATAATTTGTTAAAAAGGAAGAAGATGAAACAAATCCAGATTGTGTTTGAGCTCTGTAAGTCAAAGATATAGTTTTAAAAAGTAAACTCAAGGAATCCAATATTACAAGATCTAGAGGGTCAGGATAAAGTGAGTTAGGCTCGCACATCAAAGAAATAGCTAGGCCACCACCAAAAATGTTTCCAGGTGAAATCAAGTTGCAAAATTGTATAAACAATCTTGAGATAATTAAGCAAAAGCAAATATATTTTCAGATGCTAAGGGCTGCAGAGGGAAAAAGAGCAACTCCATATAGAAAAAATTAATATTCTGGGGCTTATCTCCTAAGAATAGCTTGTGAAGCATAACTTTTTTTTTTTTTTTTTTTTTTTTTTGAGAGTCTCACTCTTTCACCCAGGCTGGCTGGCGTGCAGCGGCATGATCTTGGCTAACTGCACCATCTGCCTCTTAGGTTCAAGCGATTCTCGTGCCTCAGCCTCCTGAGTAGCTAGAATTACAGGCACATACCACCCCACCCAGCTAATTTTTGTAGTTTTAGTGGAGATGGGATTTCACCATGGTGACCAGACTGGTCTCAAACTCCTGACTTCAAGTGATCCACCCACCTCAGCCTAATCCCAAAGTGCTGGGATTACAGGCATGAGTCACCATGCCCGGCCTGAAGCATACATTCGATCTAACAAGTCTTCTAGGTATTTGTTCTACAGACACAGTTACCCAAGTGCTGAATTGT